TCTCTCTCTCTCTCTCTCTCTCTCTCTCTCTCTCTCTCTCTCTCTCTCTCTCTCACACACACACACACACACACACACACACACACACACATCCCTTGTCCCTTTCTGTTTGAGTATGTCTCTCTATACCACTTCCTCTGCCTCTCTCCTTTATTCTGTCCCTCTCTGCACGTTTCTATGCTTCCACCCACATGCAGGTTGCGTCTGATGAATTCAACAATGAAAATGAACCAGTGTTGACAGAAGGGTATCACTGAAAGCAGGAACTTTTCACATTGAAATGAGAAAGAAGAAGAAGATAAATCTCATAAAAGGAACAGATAAGCATGCAGAGATGCTGGGTACCTGTGGAGAGGCAGTTTCAGCACAACCCTCCAAAGACCGTTGCTTTACATCAACCACCGTGAGCATGGTTAAGGGGTATAGCTTTATGGACTCCCCCGCCCCCCCCTCAAAATTCAACTTTTGTATAGGCATTTTTTTTTGTTAGCGACCTATTTTACATAGTTTATATTTATTACGGTCCCTGCCCCAGCTTTCCCGTCCCATCCCCCTCCCCCCCCCAACCCCGGTCATGGAAAAGAAAAATGGTACTACCACAAAAGACCACAATAAATTATTACTAAAATATTATTATTATAAAATATAAATAAATATAATACAAATATGTAGCTTGCTCACTGAGCATCGCATGCTTTGCGCTCTCTCATGGCAAAGTAACTCTGGCTAAACAGAACAGTCAATACAGTAGAAGCGCAGGAAACAGGGGTGAGGGGTGAAGCATGCTTCCAAGTACAAGGAAGCAATCAATGCCGCCGCCTCGGGATTCCTTGGCCATAACGAAGGGAAGCGTGTAGTGGGTATCTATCGCAAGGGATGCTGGACCCGGTTTGCAGCTTCTGAAATAAAAAGGTTTCTTTGAAATTGTTGTCGGAGTTGGTTCCCTTGTTTCCATTATTTCGTGCTGCCGTCCCAGATGTGTTTGATCCGCCATATGCCTTTTTCTAACCATACTCCCCATTTTTTGTCTTTGGAGGTCAGGGTGAATGGGTTGCCATTTTCTTTTGTAATCCATTGATTACAGAATAGGGGTTGTCTTAGTAACTCTTCCTTGTTGCTTGGTTTCCTGACCTTAGCTGGGAAATTTTCTCTCCAATCTCAAAGGATCCCTTTCCAGAACCCTAATCTTGACTGTTTTCTTGAATGCGTCCTGTTGTGGTCCCCCCCTTTCATTGCTCATGATTTGCTCATTACCCAGAATGACCCTTCCATATTGGCTGGGGTGTTATATATTGGTAGTTGTTGTATCCCGTCAAGGGCTAAAGCTCTCCACGGTAGGGTGGGTCTAGAGATGAGCTTGATGATCCATTTAGTTTGTAAGGCTTTTATTTGGAGTAGGGTCTAGGACTCCTAGCCCTCCTTGACATTTAAACCAGAATTTACAGGAAATCGTAACCATCATCCCGCCAGAATGGGTCTCAATACTAAAAAAGGACAGACAATGGAGCACAGGGGATTGGGCAATCCTATTGAACGAGCCTGATAAAAAACACGGCCTAGCATATTTGGGTAGAGAAAAGGACAAACAGAACTGGTTAATATTTACTATGCATGAAATAGAGGACCCAGGCGCTCATCACAGTAAGATCCACAAAAACCAGACGGCACAGGTTTCAGTCCGGGAAGATAACCTCAGGAAGGTAAGAGTAATAGAAAACGAAGACTTGACCATATATTGTCCCCAAACCCCATTAGAGAACCTAGAAGTAGACCCAACAGAATGAACATGGAACCTAAAACAAGGAACCTCAGGAATCAACACCAAATTCAACATGCTACAATACACAACCAAACTAGGTTATAGATTGAGACGGCGTTCCGCGAACCCGGACCCAATAATAACAGAGCGCTGGAAAAAGCACCTCGATGTAGAAACAGAAACATTAGACCCGATTCCATGGAACAGATTAGCGTCTATAAACGTTCCCAAATTTAGAAGCCTACAATGGTTAATCCTCTACCTAGCAGTCCCACTAAACCAATGGCTAAATGTCAGAAGAAAGGAGGACAGAAGCCCACTGAAAGAACTATGCGCCAACTGTAGTGATGGCCAAATAGAAAATCTGTATCACTGCTCCCTCCTATGCCCTCGCATAAAACCACTATGGCAACGGGTAGCGAAGTTATGGAACTTAATAGCAGGTTCAACTTTCAGAAGCAACAACACACTCCTACTCCTAGGTTTTGAAAGCCCAGAAAACTGGAGCCCACTAGAATCTAACTTTGTCAGAATACTTAGAAAAGCTACAATATGGGTAATATGGCGGAAAAGATGTCAAGAAACAATAGAAAAACAAAGAATGCACACCCAAGAAGCTTGGACAATACTCCAGCAACAGGTGGAAACTGAATATTGGGTCGTATGGCGTAAGGTGCGCAAAAGGATGAAAGAAGACGAAACCAAAGCCCACGAACACCAATACAAGTTTGAAGAACACTTCCTAGCAAACGGCAAAATCGCTTTGATCCGAAAATCAAGTATAGTATTCCGATTATGGGAAGGTTTCCCACCAAGACTCCAAATCCAAGAAACCTCGGTAAACAGTATCCCCGAGAGAGTCCCTAGAAGCCAACATACTCTCAGACTAATTTTAACTTATAGACCATAAAAGGGAAGCACCCGATCAGTCTAGTCCCAAAAAGCAAGACAACACAAGAATGCACAACCGGTCAGAGATAGGTAGACTCCAACTACAAGAGAAAACTCAGAAATAGATCAGACAATAGACAAAACAACCTTAAACAGACCAATATTTCAAAAGAAGGATGAACGGTCACAGATTACTGTGTGTTAGGTTAGCGACACAAACAGCAAGTAAATACCCTATGAATAGAGAAGTCAGATAGTACCGAAGGTTTCACCAGAGATAGCACTATAGGATGACAGACTATAGAAAAGCGTGGGTCACAAGCGAAGGACTTATCACAAGGGTCAATAGGTACGGCGACCGGCCAAAACATGTAGGGTCGCACGCCGAAATTTTCAGCGATAGCTTCAGTTTCTTTTGGTTTCGAAATGGCTGTTGTCGGGTCTGGGTAACAACGATACATTTTTTGATGACTTATGGTGCGGGTGTGTCTCTCCCTCTCTCCCTCTTTTTTCTCTCTCTCCTCTCCTCCCTTGCGCACTGATGTGATGATATTGTGGAATGTTATCTTCGAGGAATTATCCTCAATAGGTAGCCTAGGGTTTAGGGTTCTAGCAAGGAGTGCAACAAATGCAGCCCCGTAGTGCGCAGCCGACATGGATTTCACCACAGATTGTCAATATAGAAAAGCGCAGGTCACAAGCGAAGAACTTATCACAAGGGTCAATAGGTAGCCTAGGGTTTAGGGTTCTAGCAAGAAGTGCAACAAATGCAGCCCCATAGTGCGTAGCCTACATGGATTTCAACACGGACGGTCAACCAGCAGTTCTAGAGAGAGAAGAGAATCAGACAGCTGATGAGCTGAGAGGAGCTGACTGGCTTGAACAAAAGGAGTCTACTTTCAAAGAATAGGATAAATTGTATACCAGGTTAGCAAAAGGTAGGAGGAAAATAGTGCAGGCTAACTTAGGCAGGGGTGAAGGACGGTACATCCTTCCTAATGGAAGTAATCAATGCCATCCTTCGGGCCTCCACACCAGAAGGGGGAGGAGCATGAGAGTGTTCTCAATGTATTTTCTTTTGACTTGCCGGTGGAATAGGAACCGGACTGACGCTCCCCAGAATGGAAAAGGAGCCGGAACCATAAGGTTCTGTTTTAAAAAAAAAAAAAAAAAAAAAAGTTCCTTTAAAATAAAAAATGATAATACAAAGGAAAGGAAAAGGAAAGCTGGCAACGGTAGAAAGAAAGGAGTAGGTTTGGATTCAAGTTCGGACCGGATTTAATTTTTGATGACAATCTGTGCCGATCTGCGTCATTTACAGATCGAGATTTAGATTGAAGTTAGGGTCGGATTTAGTTTTCGATTACAATCTGTGACAATCTGCATCATTGCCGGACCGAGATTTAGGTTGAAGTTAGGTTTGGACTTAGGTTTGATTAGGTTCGGATGGAGGTTCGGATTTAGTTATTGATGAGGAACATATACTGTCAACACGTGACATATGCAATAAGAAGAGCTGATGCATTGGAGTTAAGAGATGGAGTTAATGAAATTTTGACATGTCACATACATATATAGATATATATCGTATATAAATGAGATGGTATGGGGAGGGATAGGGATAGGGATAGGGAGAGGAGATGACGAACGGTGGGGAAGGTGGGAGGGAGGAAGAGGATAAGATGACAAAAGGTGGGATGGAGGGAGAGGATAAGATGACAGTCGGAAATGAGGGACATGGAGATGATATGTCAGTACACACACCAAAAAAAAAGGAAAAAAGATGGAACAGAGGAGAAGAAGATGCAGAGACACAGAAAATTAGAGGACGATGCAACTCGCAAATGAGAAAATGACAACGCGCGTTACGCTTGGGGGAGGGGGGGGGGGAGGGCAAGATGGGACCGGTCACAACGGTGATCTGAAATTTCAGACGACAACGACATCTTCGGCGGAAAGATGGAATAAGGCGAATATGAGGTAAGGGTTCAGTGAATGACGATGAGATGACAATTCAATCAAGATAGGACGTGAAAGAGATGAAGATGGCCACGAAGATGAAGAAGCCAATGGATAATATCCCGATCGAGATGAAGTGGAGAAAATGACAAGGACGCAGAAAACTATGATGGAGACGAAGATGGAGACAAAGATGGAGACAAAGATGGAGACAAAGATGGAGACAAAGATGGAGAAAAAGATGGAGAAAAAAGACAAAGATGCAGGGGAAGATGAAGACGAAGACCGAGGGAGCAAAAGACGAAGACAGAGACGAAGATGAAAAGAAAGATGACATGAAAAATCGGGAAGAAGATGAAGATGGGCAAGAAGATGGAGATGAAGACGAAGATGAAGATGAAGATGGAGACGAAGATGGAGACGAAGATGAAGATGAAGATGGAGATGGAGACGAAGATGGAGACGAAGATGAAGATGAAGATGGAGATGGAGACGAAGATGGAGAGTGGGATGAAGATGGAGAACAAGATGGAGATGAAGACGAAGATGAAGTCGAAGATGAGAATAACCATGAAATAAATATGAAGTCAACATGACAGGAATTGACGATGAAGATGAAGAAGATGAAGATGGAAATGGAGATGGTGATGAAGATGGAGATGGATATGAAGACGAAGATGGACACTTCGAAGGAGACGAAATAGCGATCACAACAAAATGTAAGATGAATTAACAACGAGAGAAGATGAACTAAAGACACGACGTTGAAGACAACGATGAGGACGACAATGGAGATAAGGATGAAGATCGAGATGGAGACGAAGATGGAAATGACGATGAAACACCACTCCGGCCTACCTTCTTCACCCGAATAGAACGCCCTGTAATTATGGCCGTATCTGGACTCAAAGCCACGTCAAATACAGCTATAATGACCGGGCGTTCTATTCGGGTGAAGACGGGTAGCTCAGTTGTTTACACCCATGAGCTCCTGAAATGCAGACCTGAGTTCAAATTAGATGGAACCAGATGACTGAAATTCATTAAAATTTCCTGGGGTTGGTCAGTCTGATGATGATATCTCAAGGCTGTCACCCTTTCCAAAACAAACCAAATAAGAATGACAAGACGATGAAATGGAAATGAGAGATTATGCAATCAAGACATGACGTTGACGGCGCAGACGGAGATCACAATGACAATGAAAAGACAGATGAAATCAAAATGAGAGGACATGAAATAAAGACACGACGTCGAACACGAAGACGGAGATGAATAGGTGGGTAAGCCCCCCCCCCTCCCTCTTGCACCCCTGCCCCCCCAACCCCCACACACACCCCCACCATCATACCTTCCAAGCTTCGGTGCATTTCCAGGGGCCTTCCCCAGACACTTTTCTGTCCCAAACCTTGATGGTCCCATCCAAGGACCAAGTGGCCAGTCGGTGCCCGAGAGGGTGCCAGCACAGGCCAGACACAGCCTCATCTTGAGGTAAATCCAATTCCTTCGCCACCTACACACACATAAAGCAAATACCTTCTCCCATGTCATCCATCCGATCCCGACCTCAAAATTGACCCTTGGGGCTTCCCCCCGAACACACACACAGAAAATCAAGTGATGAGTCAGTGAAACTCTGACGAAACAGCCTAGCACAGTCATTCCTTTCTTTTTTTTTTTTTAATAGAATCATTTCATTTCATTACCAAATTCAGAACGAGGCCGGGGACCTCACACTTCAGCCGGGGACCTCACAATTCAACCCGGAGTTATCCCGGCAGCTTCAGCCGGTTTAGCTTCAGAGATCAACCAACAACTCTCTTCCTTTTTTTTGTGGACGTGTGCATAGTGAGCTTGAGAACTCAGCAGAACAACAAGAACCCACACGAGGAAGCTCGTGCACAGGGAGGGAAAGGAACAGGGAAAACCCCACCCACACACGCACAAACACACGCACAAACACACACACGCACATGCACAAACAGACACACACACACACACACACACACACACACACACACACACACACACACACACACCANAAACAGACACACACACACACACACACACACACACACACACACACACACACACACACACACCAGGAAAAGAAAAAAGGGCATCAACAACACACACGCACACACCGAAAAAAAAAAAAGGGCAAGAACAACAAGACACAGACGAGGAAGCTCTTGCGCGGGGAGGAAAGGGACAGGGAAAAACCCACCCACCCACACAAACACACACACACACACACACAAACACACGGAAAAGAAAAAGAGCATCAACAACACACACCCACACATCGAAAAAAACAAAAAGGGCAAGAACAACAAGACACAGACGAGGAAGCTGGTGCACAGGGAGGGAAAGAAACAGGGAAAACCCACCCATCCACACACACACACACACATAAGGAGGGGGGGGGGGGGGGGAGCGAGGGGGCACAGCAACACACACGCACGAAGAAGCTCGTGCGCAAGGAGGGAAAGAATTGCATTTTATACATGGTCAGACCTCAAGAATCGAACACGCGACCTCCCACATGGGATTTGCACGCTTAACCCAGCGGCTAAGCTGACTGGCGGGAAAGAAACAGGGGAAAACCCACCCACACACAAACGCAGACACGGACACACGCACGCGTTCGTCGCCTCGGACATCTTCCTCGCGCCGGCCAAGTGTAAAGCGGAAGCAAGGGGTAAGAAAAATTAATAAAATAATAACTACATAAAAATACGAACCATTTTTCAATTCCACGCCGCCTTTTTCTCGGCATCGCACACGCACACGTGGCATCTCCCCCCCATCAAGCCTTTCTTAGCTGCCTTCCACTTTCTTACAGATAAAACTAGTTAATACTGTAAATAAATAAAGACGCATTTTTCAATTCCACTAGAAAAAAGCCTGTCACAGGCCCCTCGTTTGTTGGCCTCTTCTCCCTCTCTGCCTACGGTTTACCGGGCAGCTGTGTCTGATGATAAATATATATCGTCACATGACGATATATATATATCGTCACATGAATATCACAGGGCAAAGGCGAAAAAAACAGAAGAAAACAAGAAAAAAATAATTCGTTTTTTAATCTTCTTTCTTACAACTCCCCCTGTTCAGAACCTCTTGCGTACAAGGCCGCCCACGTGGATGTAGGTTGAGCGGCGGCTGCCCCCACCCCCGTGTGTCATATCGATCCACTTGCACACAGCCAAATTTGCGCTCTGATATTGTTTGTTTTTTTCGCTTTTGCTCTCTGATATCTAGGTGACGATATATATATTCCCTATTGTTGGGATGTTGCGTTTTGCGGGCCTACTGAATGGTTCCGTTTTTTTACTATGGATATGGTAGAATGTTTGTTTTGTGAATGAGAATCTTGTCTGCTTCGATTCCGGTTGGTCTTGTCCCGTTATTTGGTCTATCTTAGGGAGGGATGGCGGTGCTTCATGTGGGATTGGTCATCTGGTTATCGTTTTGCAGGCAAGTTTGTTTTGACATCCTGGTTGGTCTTGTCCCGTCGTTTGGCCTGTAGTTGCCGGGGGCCGTGTTTGCATGTGGGACTCGTCATCTAGGATTGTCATTTAGGATTTGTTTTAATCTTGTCTGCTTCGATTTTGTTATTGGGCATCCTGGTTGGTTGTTTCCCGTTGTTCGGCCTTTTGAGCGTGGAGCGGTGCTTGTATGTGGGAATCGTCATCCGAAACAGAAGAAAACAAGAAGAAATAAAAAAGAATTCGTTTTTGTATCTTCTTTCTTACAACTCCCCCTGTTCAGAACCTCTTGCGTACAAGGCCGCCCATGTGGATGTAGGTTGTATATTCAGCCTCCTGATAAGTCGGTGAAACTCCGACGAAACAGTTTGTCACAGCCCCTCGTTTGTTGTCCACTTCTCCCTCGCTGCCGACGGTTTACCGGGCAGTTCTGTTTGACAATATATACATATATTCAGCATTACATGGCACTACATCATGCAGCTGCCCAGTGGGAACTGTGGGATGGTGGGACAATGATTCAGGGTATTTTCAACATAAATGAATTTCTGTGTGCATTGCACGAATCATACTTTATTCTGGATTATTCACCGACTCTCGCGTGACACCTGTCGGTACAGGGACGCGGTGCGCCTTGGCTGCGGAATTCATCACCTACTAGATGACCCGTTGCGGCTTCGCCCGCAAAAACAGAAAACTAAAAAGCACAAAAGAAAGAAAAAGCATAAGGAACTGCCCTGTCATATGCCCCGCTTCTTTCACAAAAACAAAAAGAAGAGCCTGAGAGCAGACAGAAATCCGCGTGCAAAAAATAGGAGGAAATAGGAGGGAATACCACCGAACCTGTTTTGTTTCTTATCTGCGAGTGTTTTGTTTGGAGAGCCGATACCTTTGCAGCATCGTTTTTTTTTTGTGCTGTGCAAGAACTGTGAATTTCTATGAGAAAATCCTGTCCGTTGTCCCGTTGACGTTTTTGCTAAGGATTCCGATTCAGATTTTTGTTTGCTATGTCTCTGAATATGTTTGTGATAAAGCGATCTTGCATGTATGCCCCGTGCTTACTTGCCGAGTTTTGACTCTATGTGTGCAAGTGCATGCGCGTGTGGGTGAGTCTCCGTTTGGTCGGCTCCAAAACTCTATGTGTGCAAGTGCATGCGCGTGTGGGCGAGTCTCAGTTTGGTGGGCTACGATGATGTCATTGATGATTGGCCCGGGGAAATTGTTGGAAGTCGCCTCCAACTATATGAGTGCCAGCCACTGATGTTAAGCAGGGGTTTTGCATTGTATGAATGAAACAATCAGTATTCAATCTGCTTGGCAGTTGCTCTTCGCGTGGGGGACTTGTCGGGAGTAGCATTGACATGGGAGCCATAACGCCGGGCATTCATTTTGCAACATTTCCTGGAAAGCAAAAGGCAAAGAAGAAACGAAGTAGCACGTGCCCCCCCCCTTCTCTCTCTCTCTCTCTCTCTCTCTCACACACACACACACACACACACACACACACACACACACACACACACACACACAGCCATAATGCCGGGCATTCATTTTGCAACATTTCCTGGAAAGCAAAAGGCAAAGAAGAAACGAAGTAGCACGTGCCCTCCCCTTCTCCCTCTCT